TTTGCTTAGGAAGACAAATATTTGAATAGAAACCCTCTGAAATGGATGAGAATGACAGACAGCAGAGTTTAAAGACTGATTAAAAAGCTCATCAACTTTATCAAAGCTAGATGAAACATAAAGAGACAAATATCCATCTGCTTGTTTGAGGCTTGCAGCCTACAGTCTCTCAGGAGGGTGTTCTCAAATTTTAGGAAGATTTTGAGAAATGCAATTCTAATTAAGTTTATGTTAGGAGCTGGAGGTAATATGCTAATCAAATGCATGAATAAGATAATGGGGGAAAAAAAAATACATTTCTTTTATATATTTGAGCCTTACCACAAACTTTATTTCAAGCATTTAACCAAAAACCCAGTCATAAAACTAATTGACACAAGAAGTTCAATAATGTTAACTAACGGATGATTTTTAGGACTTTAATCATCACTTTAAATCTGACTTCCAACTTTGAGATGTACAAAGTTTATGATAAACAATACATTTTAAGCAAATGGACTGCATTTATATACAGTAGCGCTTTCATAGACCTACTGGCCACCAAAGTACTTTACATTTTGCCTCACATTCACCCATTCATACACTCATTTATACACCGACGGCAGTGTCAGCCATGCAAGGCAACATCCAGCTCGTCGGGAGCAGCTGGGGTTAGGTGTCTTGCTCATGGACACCTCGACACTTGGTCAGGTGGAACCGAGTATTGAACCACCCTGCCGCCCTAACGCAAATAAAATGCCTCAGTCAAATTTGTATTATTGATGCTACATCAAATGATAATCAGACTTGTTTACTGCCGCTGCCGCTCTGCCGCAAATAAAATGCCTCAGTCAAATTTGTATTATTGATGCTACATCAAATGATAATCAGACTTGTTTAAGCAAATGTTTGCAAATACAGATAAAAAACTGTAAATGAAGAGTTCAGATGCAAAAGCCTCTAAATGCCATTTCAAATTTTTATCTTTAATGATGATTTTTATCAAACTTGTATATTTAAGTTCAGTAATTTCACTTAAATAACAATTAATAGGTAATTATCATTGCCATTTAAGTGAAATTACTAAACTTAAATATACAAGTTTGATAAAAATCATCATTAAAGAAGAAAATTTCAAATGGCATTTAGAGGCTTTTGCATCTGAACTCTTCAAATGATCTTCTAACATCCTTGTTTTTCCTCTAAAACGTGCTTGACGGTGCCTGCCCTCTGTTGACAAACAAACAACTGCTCAGCGAGCAATGAAATGCCTTTATAGATAAAGAGCGTAGACATCAAGTAGGAATATCCCACATCCGACTTTCAATGGAACAAATTGTGAATGCAGAATGAAGTTGATATGAAATATAATTGGCTTTAATCTCTGTAGTAAGTAGTTTACCAGGCCCACCTGTGTTCAGCTAGAGAAGTGTTTGCTTACCTCTTTAGTATGTCTGGTGCACTGTGGTATATCCATCATCCTGACAGCCAATCAGGTTAGGGAGTCAGAGTTACACGGTTACTGTGACATCCAGACATAGAAAATGCTTCAAAGGCCAAACAAAACTGAAGGGAATGTGCACACACTTTTGTAGCAGTACTAGAGACTGGCTAGTGTTTAAATATTGTCATATAAATATTCAGTTCAATCAATGCAGGGTAATTTCACTTATATTCAATTGTCACGCACGTTTTGCTATAGACAATAGACTATACATAAGTGATCTTTTTTCCTGTTGAGATAACTTTGAATCCTGCAATTTATGGACACTGTATCCAGTTCTATCGAAAAGAACATACATTTATTTTTCCCCAAAATCCTACAAGTTCATAAACAAACTGTCAGCCAAGCCACGAAACACGAAAGTACAGAGAAAACACTGACGGTGCTCCAAATCAATACTCAATGCTACTTACTTCTGTTTCACAAACAAACACCACTATTCATCCGTGTAATTAAAATAACTTAAGTGTGCCAGTGCGGCATACTCTATTTATTTAACACAATAGAATATTTTTCACAGAGCTTGATCTGTTTTGGCATTGTAAAATCATTTGACTGAACTTCGGCTTTGAAAGAACTTGGCTTGAACTCCAAGTATACTCTCGATGGAGATCCAGAGCTGTGAATCCACAGCCAGAAGATATGAGGGAGTGAGGAAAAGAGAGAAAAAAATGGGAGGGATGTAAAGTATACGCACCAATCTCCCTCAAATGCCAAGATGAATTACATTAGACGTGTCCCTCGCCTGCAGAAGACTAAATGCACACCAAACAACAAAGCCCTACAGCCTCTAACTTCAACTTTGATATCTATCATCACTCCCATGCTTATAATTGCAAAACAAACAAAACAAAAAATTATCGCTATTCATACTGGATAATATATCCAAGAATATGTATAGCATACCTCGCATTCCTGTCACCATGACCTCAACCTTTGTGAATGTCAGGGCATACGTGCTTACACAATAATATCCGCTGGAAATTACTCCACACAAATATGGATGCATACAAGACAAATGGCCAGTGTCAAAGTTACAGTGTTATGGTGCATTTTCCAGCGCACTCCATTAATAAAACCAATAAAGCTGTGTATCAAAGAAGTAAAACGATTATAATGAAAAACGGCATGACTAAACCATAGCAGTTTACCCTTATGTCAGTTTATTCATGGCGACATTCTGTTTTTCTGTGATAAGCAAATTGATATGTAAAGATTGGAATGACGTTACATGACATTGTGTTGACCTGACAGTTAAAAATCCCACAGAACACAATACAGAGGGGGCTGACAGTCTAGCGTGAGCTTCAATATTTATACATAGTGTGGCAGGTGGCATGTTATTATTTATACAGAGTAGGTGGCATGTAATTATTTTGATGCACTTTGAGGCACTTTAAACACAACTCTGGTCGCTCAGCTCTGTAATTTGACTGTCCGGATGTACAACAAGGTATTTCTGAACACATATTACTACTGAAAAAAAAACACAAAAAAACCATCTTGTGCGTTCACATAAATGGATGATTTCCATCAGCATATGGTTGCTGACTGTTCAAGAGTCAAATTAAAATAAGTGCATGTTCACCCTTATATACAACATTTTAAATGAGTAATTGTTTAATATATAGCAAAAGGCAATATTAATGTTTTATAAAGTTAAAACTGTAAAACATCTCTTCCGGGCAGCATTTACAGCATGAGGGTAAATGATTAGAGATGTTGGGTTTTTTTTTCTTCTTTTTTTTGTGACATATCCCTTTAATATTGTATATACACTACCATTGTTGGTACCAAATGTTGGGGTCAACCAAAAAAAAAAAAAAAAATAATAATTTAAGGCTGCAATTTACTTGATCAATCATCGAGTCAAAAGCAGTAATAATATAAAAATATTCTGTAAAAATATTGATCAAAAATACTTGATCAGCTGACAAACAGAAATCCAACGAACTTGATTGAAGCGCAAGAACAAACCTCATTGGTTCTTAAAGAAGCTCAAACGTGCAAGCATAAAAAGAGCATGAACATCATTGGTTCTCGCACGTCAAGCAAACAAACTTCCGTTTCTATTTATCCTAAATTTATATGGATTAGTTTTACAATATCTTTATGAACTTTTGGAAGCACTAGTGGTAGTTGCTTAGCTGTCTATGGAGGGACAGAAATCGCTCAGATTTCATAAAAAGGTTTTAATTTGTGTTCCGAATATGAACAAAAGTCTAACTGGTTTGGAACGACATGAGGGTGAGAAAATAATGACAGAATGGTTTTTTTTATTTATTTTTTTTGGGGGTGCAAACTATCCCTTTTAAAAATCATTCATATAAGCTGAATTTCTTCTTATTATTAGCTGAAAATAGCCATTCTGCAGTGTAGAGTAGGAAGTTAGGGTTAGTTTTTTTTTCTTTAGAATGTTTGATAAACAGCTTTTGTCTAAAATAGAAATGTTTTCAATCTAATGTTTGCCATCAATTTAATGTGTCCTTAAGGCTTAAAAGTGACACTCATGCAGGTTGCCAGATTACGGAAGCCATTATAGGATGTTATAAAATATACTGCACCAGAATAGACTTTAGCCTATAAAGTTGTATTATATACAATCTATCTATTTACATCTATCTTTCTATCTATCTATCTATCTATCTATCTATCTATCTATCTATCTATCTATCTATCTATCTATCTATCTATCTATCTATATCTATCTATCTATCAGCATCATCTTTCTATATTTTAAAATTCATTAAACATTCAAATATATGCACTACATTTTAAAAGACAAGTTTATAGTTGTAACAAAAATCTCACACTCCTTACCTTTTGCATTTTATAATAATTTCCTTTTCCTCAGTCGAGCAATTACTCTCATCTAACCACTGAAAAGACGTAGGAAGGGATACGCTGCTTCATGAGACATTTTCATTTTTATATGCCTTAATTTGTGAATACGTAATTGGCGCATTCCACCATCAGTGTGATATGCACGTGACGTCTATGTTCGTCAATAAATAAACTGCACGTGCTAATGCTCGAATCTCCCACGGAAATCCACCAGTACCACTGGAGTTAAAAAACAAACAATATTACAAGCTTACCGCTGTGAATCGAGCTAAGGCAAGCAGATAGTTTTGAACACTGGCTGCTTATGTATTTTCTCAAATATGTATTTTGGATTATTTTTAACTCAAACAAGTTATGGACTGCAGCTTTAATTACACAGAACATTACTATACATTAAATGAATAAAGTATTCATACCTGAAAAATGTGACAAAGAACTGCACCAAGTCCATGATGCTGCTGTGCTGAGAGAAGGAGATCTATGAAAAAAAAGAAGAAAGGTGGTAGAGATATTCGTAAAATATCACATTAAACCTTTACTGAAGGATGTCCAAATATATTTAACATTGGACATGATATTGTCTCTTAACAGCCTTATAGTCATATTAAAAATAATGGGAAATATAGCTGCGAGCAGCGATGAAGGGCCCAAGCCGGTGGCACCGCAACCCCGGTTCCTTAGTTACCTAAAATCACCAGGGTGGCCATGCCACTGGCTTTGGCCCTTCATCGCGGATCACAGCTATATATATATATATATACTGTATATATACATATATATATGAAGCCGGTGGCACCGCCACCCTGGTGCCTTTAGGTTTATTGTGCACGACATGCAAAATGTAACCCTGCTTTGAATGATGCAAGCTCTACAGCACAGTTTATAGTAAGAAAGAATATAGTAAGAAAGAAAAGTAAGCTGTTACTCTGAGATGGTTTGGGAAACAAACATTCATCATGTCGCATTGGTTTTAGTTACTTGTCCTCGAACAGAGCCCTAATCTGTTTATATTTCAGTTACACATTCTACATTGATTAAAAAAGAAAAATCAAATGTGTTTTTAATTCATACAGAAATAAAATATTTATAATTCAGCTGAGAATAAAGTTAGTTCAAATTTTAAGAAAAACAAATATATGATCTGAAATATAGCACATTCATTTTTAAATTCATTCAGGTTCAATTACCAAAAATACAATCTTAATTTAATTTAAAGCAAATAATAAATCTAAAATATATGGGTTATATCCATATTTTGTAAAAAAAGAAAAAAAAAAGAAAGAAAGATATATATCCAAAAACACAAGGCCTTAAACTTTAACAAGGGTGCAACTCTTATCACTACAACAAACATAGTCACACACACAAGTCAAGTCACTTACATTTTAGATGCAATATTGACTTTTTAGATGCAATATTGACTTTTTTCTGTTTCAGCAGAAAAAATAGTTAAACAAAGATCACAGCGACCCATCGCGCATCTCAAAGCAATGTGTTTTCTCATTACTGAATGATTCAGCATTTTGAATCCATGACTCGTTCATTAAGACGGTCATCTGGCGACACCTTATGGTGATTTAGGGTTATGTTTAAAAGTATCGTTCTTTACAGCGATTTTTAATTGACTCCTGTTAAACCAATCTCGTAACATTATTGTGTAACCGATTTAATTTGGTCAGCCTTACCTAGGGTAACAGCCCTATAGTGCCTTATTATTCTAAATTATTGAATTTATTGATCAAATTTACTAATGAAAAATGAAGCATATTTATTAAGACTATAGGCTGCCCTGCAGATATTAGGCTACAATATGCAGATTTAAATATACCATTTATCAAATAATCTGTTTATTTTTAGGTTACACATTACATTGTTTAAAAAATAAAAATCAAATGTGACCCGCTCTGGCGAAATGAGTCGGAAGTTGCAACCTTCCATTTTAAGATATGGGCCGATTATGTGGAAAAACCATGAAATAACAAAAAAAAAAAAAAAAAAAAAATTTTTTTTTTTGCTAATTTCAAAGAACAGACATTCAAAAATAATCTCACAGGGTTTCGTAGTCGAGATAATTGAGTAAAGGTATTTAAATAACGATTAAAGTTGTCAAAGCTTTAAATTAGCTGAAATAAACATTGCTCTTCTCAACTCCCCTCGTCACCTCTGAGCATTTCCCGGGTATCCCCTGAAACGTTGAACTCACTGGAGGCTTCTAACCTAAACTGCGTGAGTATATTTATCTGCAAGAAGAATATAGCCTATGTAAGGCTGTAACGATCGCGACACTCAGATCCACGAACCTGTGTCGCGGTGTGAGAAGACAGAATCACGACACCGACACGTCCCTTCAACTCCCGAAGTTATCCTTCACGTCCAGACCCAATGCTAGCTACAACATCTTTAAATTACTATTAGTATTATTTGAAGTTAACATTATAAAATACGTAGACTTACACCACAAAACTTAAATTATTACTAAATTTTTTAAAATTGGGCAATTTCAGCATTATGGAGGAGATCCAATTCCCAGATAATTAAATATTTTAATAAATTGGCCTATGTGAACCACACTGCACAAACCAAAAGTAATACTCACCGGATGAAGAAGGGTTGACTCTCTCCAGAACATAAAATCTTTATTTTATTTTCCGTGTTCGCATTTATGAGGAAAAACAATCCGAACGTGGCCGTTCTCTGGAAGCAGCACTAAAACTTTCACATAGCTTAAACATGCAAGCACAAAGCCTTTCTTTAAAGTAAATTTCGTTTTAAAATAATTATCTTAATTTAAATCAATGTTTCATCAACCAATTACTAGGATTTAATAATAAGAAATAAATTGCAGACAATAGGCTAGGCCTAATCACGACGCGGAGACGCGCGGCACGTGAACTGAAGCTTGTCTCATGAACCGAAAGTCAGCGTATAAGGTATCCTCACAGACATATATATTGAAATGTCTACTTTTAAAGACAACCATTCAAAATGAAAGAAAACAGACTGCTCTCTGCTTATGTGGGCTAATCCGTATGAAAACTGAATTTCTCTCTGACTCCTCTTTAATCTTTCTGATTTTAGAACATTTTTGTAAAAGTGACTTTTTAATTATTTATTTAAAAAAAATTTAAAATAAGTTGAGTTTCAGCCTCGTTAAATTGCATTTATATATGTTAATCTATTTGGTCAAATTAAGCTATATAAAATAAATAGTTTATCCCTTAAAATGCTATGGATTTTGAAAGATATCAAAAAAAAAAAAAAAAAAAAAACGGGCAAAAAAACTTTAAAAGCGATTTTCTTAGGTTTTCAATTGGAAAAAAAGGGCAGACGACCAGAATTCAAATCTGTATATCTTTACAACCATTCAAGGTATGACCAAGGTATCATTTGAAAGCTTACAGTGTCCTCTTTCCATTAATATCAAAATCTCAATTTTTAAATTTGGGTCACTGTGACTAATTTTGCTGGATCAGGTCGGTCACAAATGTGTTTTTTATTGTAGTATTATTTTATACAGAAATACATTATAATTATATATAATATACAAAATATAACCGTGGGCGCGATTAAACAGTGTTACAATAAAACTCAACATTGTGTTTTTTTAAAATAAATTCAAATAATACAAATCCCGAAATTGCGCTAATTTTAAAATTAAACTAAAACTCATGGCTGCACAAGCATTCATAACTGTGCGCGCCAACAGCGAGGAACCAGCAGAACAGAGTGAACGTTCATTCTGTTTAGTTCAATCCTACTTAATAGGAATTTATTTAAAATGCTTGCTCTACTCCACAACATTAATGTCTTGTGCGGATATCTGTATTTTGACTTTCGGTTTTAAGTAAGCGATTTAAAAGTTCCCGAGTCCCAGCGGAGTCACACGTTGATTAACCGGTGGGAATATACACAATAGGCCTAACTGATATTGAACACAAGAGGGCAGTATAGCACTACGTATGACTCAGATTATTATTTTTTTTTATGAATTTTACAACAATTCTGGCTGTTTTTGAACGTAAACATAATTCTTAAATGAAAAAAAGGAAAAATTGGGGAAGTTATAATATTTGTATAATTTAATTTAGAAACAAATGATGTATAATTACATTTTTAGAAGATATGAGGCTTTTAGTGTTTACTTTTTTGACATTACTTTAATCTTTTGCCAAAGTTGCACATGCCTACTGGCTAATAAATGTGATGTATCTGTCGAGCTATCTGTATCTATCTGTTTCAAGCAATTTCAAGCATGCTAAGAGTCCCAAAAGTATCAAAAAAGAATGTTAGTTTGATTTGTTGCCACAGCAACAGTATCAAAGATATCAAGAATCCATTCACAGGTCTACATCTGCTGTATTTTTACATTATACAGATGAAGTTTGAAGCAAATCGGTTAAAAATAAGAGGGTGATATCAAAGCATTTTGAAAGTGACACACTTCCTGCTGCCAGTTGGTGGCGCTATAACTTTGACTCACAATAGTCACATCCATGTAATCAGCCTCTTACAGTGAACACACTGCTGAAGTTTCATCAAGATCAGTTAATGTATGCTGAAGTTATAACACACTTCCTGTTTCACGTTTCTCGCCATAATTTTGTTTCCTCGCCACGGCCAAACCGTTCGAGATATCAAAAATCCCCTCGCAAACTTTCATCCTCAATGCCTTGACTTCATGCTGACCGAGTTTCGTGCCGTGTGTTTGAATTCTCTAGGAGGAGTATTGCACATTCCATTGCGAGCGTTTTACAAACAAACCTCAATAGCCGACTTCCTGTTTGGCTGGGGTAAAAAGTAAGAGCGTGAGGTATAGATGAAACGATGAGATCAACATGTGTACTGAGTTTCATATTATTACATGCAAGCGTGTTTGATTTATGGACCAAGTGTTCGGACCCCGTTCCAGGGGGCGCTGTCTAGCCCCCCTGCCACACCCAGGTACCATCTTCAGCCCGGCTCTGATGGCTGTGGGATCTGACCTGTGTGCAAAGTTTCAAGAGTTTTCAAACCCGTTAAGGGCCCCAAAAGCCGCTAAGAGTCTCAAAATCATAAAAAAAAGAATTTTAAAGTTTGATGCGTTGCCACGGCAACAGTATCAAAGATATCAAGAATCCATTCACAGGTCTTCATCTGCTATGTATTTGCATTATACAGATTAAGTTTGAAGCACATCGGGTAAAAATAAAAGGGTGAGTTCAAAGCATTTTGAAAGTGACACACTTCCTGCTACCAGTTGGTGGCACTATAACTTTGACTCACAATAGTCACATCCATGTGATCGTCCTCTTACAGCGAACACACTGCTGAAGTTTCATCAAGATCAGTTAATGTATGCTGAAGTTATAACACACTTCCTGTTTCACGTTTCTCGCCATAATTTCGTTTCCTCGCCATGGCCAAACCGTTCGAGATATCAAAAATCCCCTCGCAAACTTTCATCGTCAATGCCTTGACTTCATGCTGACCGAGTTTCGT